CAAATTCAAGTATACAATTTCACAATAATATCACAGATTAAGTATAAATAAATTATCCAATCGGTGATAATATAGTATAACCTAAGTTTCCTGACAAATATTTTTTTTATCGTAGTTTAGCCATAAATTATATAGTCTGCTTTCGATCATTCATTATTAGTTTATCACTATTTGTATAAATATTAAAAAAATATGTATTATTACAATATCAAAAATCCATCAAAAATACCTTCTTAGCTCCGCATCGAAGTTAAGAAAGAAATGTATATGAAATACAAAACAATAAACTGATTATATATATATTTTGTCAGTAAAATTGCTTAAGAGGGCGTCGCACCGCCCATTTTTAAGGAGTAAAGTATAGGCAATTTTTTACAAAATCTTAATTTAAAGGTTATACTGTTATGTGTAATTATTAGTTCAATAACAAGGACTCTATTTTGGTAGTTGATTTATTTTTTGGACTATCACAGCATCCTTGAAAGCGATTTAAAAATGTTTTTTTCATCTCTACATGTTTAAGCAGGCTGAAAATAACTTGCTTAATTTTGGTTTTAGAGTAAAAGCACACATTATAAAATTAAAAGAAAACAATATTTCGTAGGGCAAGACGGTGCGTTTTTTTCATTATATTCCAAGTATAACACTCAATACATAGTTTAGAAATAACGACTATTTTAACATTTTTAAATGACTGTAACTTTTCAAAAAATTAATTTTTTTTTTAAAACGCACCGTTTTGCCCTCGGAATATTGTTTTCTTTTAATTTTATAATGGGTGCTTTTACTCTAAAACCAAAATTAAGCGAGTTATTTTCAGTTGGTTAAACATGTTTTTACCACTGAAAATCACCGGTGCGACGCCCTCTTAAGAGTCTATTAAAAAATATTTATTCAATCTATAGGTCACATTATAGCATTTATACATTACACACTGCAAAAAAAAAATATATATACTTTTAATTCATAAGAAAAAAAAATGTAAAGAAATGGTGGTAATAAAATGTATATCCGAACAGAGAAAAAAAGAAGAATAAGGGAAATAGTTTTCCGACATCGTTCGTCGAAATGCAGAAATTGAAAAGAAAAATGGAATTCACGTCGGTGTCTAAACCTAAAGTGAATTCCTGAAAAGTTCCTTCATTTGTAAAGAATTTAAACGACATTATATGATAATGGGGAGTCATAGAATTTAATTGAAGACCAAGAATTTCTCTATAGGTGTTATAACATCATAGTAATTGATGCAAGATATTTATCAATCAACTCTGGTAAAATTAAAATACATAATTTAACTTAAAATGTCGGCATTTGAAATATCTGAAAAGTCTAACAGGGGAAATTCGAACTCTGACCTTTTATTAATAAAGCTATAAAAGATGTGCTAATATTATGCTGGTTATAATAGAGGTAAAAAGAAGCTCACACAACGTGGTAAATACCGGAATGTTCACCGGTTTATGAAAAAATACAAAGTTCATTGTGGTTTTATCACTTTCCAATATTTTTAATAGTTAAATGGAATTCTAAATTATTTTTAAACAGTATTTAAGACTATAAGAGGATAAATTGGAAGATGTAAAAATAGCAAGTATAAAAAGACTGCATATACTAGAATGGAAGAAGATGACGATTAGTATTGAAAAATTTATTTAAGTGCCAAAAAATTAACGTAACGGTAAGTTTTTTCATATTCAACATGTGCGGTGTTACATTATATTTCGACTTAAATCTTTTTATGTTAAACCTTGAACCGAAATTGACTAGAATTTTAAATAATGTTTTAATAGTTTAAGTTGTTTAATTTAGAATATTTTAAAAAGATATAAAAATATTTTTTAAGAGCTATTATATTTTATTTAAAGAACCATACGCATACCTACAGCAAAAATATTATCAGGAATAAATATTTAACTTTTTTTTTTCTTATTATTATTAACCTTTATTAAGCAATATTATGGCTTAGCAGTTACATTTGTTTATAAGGTAATATATTGAAATCATCTTAAAATACTAATAAATATGTACAACAAAAAATAAACGTCCACATAATGATAATACTTATATTATAAGTATATTTGTTATATAATAAAAAACCTACAGTAATATTTTTATACCTTCAATTACCTAATCTGAAATATTTAATTTAGAAACATCTTGAGCAATATCTATATATTAAAAACAGTACTTTCCACAAGTATTGTGTTAAGCGTACAAAAATTAAATGTTCAAATGCAGCTGAAGAATAAAAATAAGTGGAAAGTACATTATAGTCCCGAACATTGTTAACCCTACTCCTTGAAGCTCTAATCCAGTATGTAACGTAGTCATTGTCTGTAATAAGCCAACTTGAATTTGAAGAGTGAATTTGCCAAACGTTTTAAGTGCCAAAGTATAAAAATTGAACTTTATAATTTTATTTGTATTTTATTCATTACCGGAAACACTTAAGCATATTTTTAAGTGTTAAATATGATTGTTTTTTTTATAAATAACTATTCCTTACTTGACAAATATACTAAATTGTTTCCCGTAACGCGTGAAATACAAATCAGATTATTAAGTTCAATTTTTATACTTTGGCACTGAGAATGTTTGACAAATTCACTCTTCATTTAGCCTAGCCCATAGTTTTAATGATCAGACCACAAAACGCCCAAAAAATCGACAATGAGAAGATAGATGTATAATACTAACCTAAATAAGTATAAAGACAGCTATAATAATTTTATGTTTGAAATATTTATTCCATTTATATCATTAGCCAACGTTAGTAAGTAATTAATTTCTTTCGACTTTCGCTTTTACAATTTGATTAGAACTCATAAAAAAAATATCATACAAATATTTACTATGGAGGGACACTTTCACTATAATGCCAATTAAATATACGATTTTGAATTACGGAAATAGTTAAACAATAAAATATCATATGGTATATATAATATGTTGTATGATATCATAAAATAATTGTAAGTATTGGAATATTGCACAATAATATTCAATATGATATAATTAATAAATATGCTATTAATTGTTCAATTATTAAATTATGTTTTGTTTTCAGCAATAATACAAATATCAATTTAACGATAACATCCTATTATGAATTTTCAATAATAAATTATGTCCAAGAAAATTACCATATTGACAATAAGTATTGTTATAATATATCAAATATCATATTAAGTTAACAATATTACGTATTGTCATAACATGATTATTTTTAATAATTTATACAAATTTGTACTATTTAAACAAATAATACAAACTAATAAATTATAATTTTTTTTTAGTACTTCTGAATGTTATTTAGTATGTTCAATATGGACAAAAATACACTACAATACATTTATTATAGGAAACTTGACGGACATTGTTATTACTTATTTCCGCTGAACACGAGTATAGTATCGATTTACATGGAATTTTTAACATTCTTTGATAAGATAAGGACTAATCTTATAAAGTAAGAACAGGGCTTAGACCTAATCCGGTCGGAAGCTTCTATGAAGGGTTAACATTCTAAGGCAATATGTATATTTAAATACTATTGGTTCGTAAATCATAAGTTTATGTTAAGTTAATATTTAAAAACTAAATCCATACTTAACTTACATATTTCCTATCAGCAAACTGCTCAATATATTATTTTTGTAAATTCAATTTAATTGAAATACAATACGTGATAATATTATCTGATAAAATTAAAAAATAACTTGTTGAAAATATCGACTAGGCACGAATGGTTGACAAAAAAACTAGTCAAAAATTAGTATTAAAACGCACTACTCCTCGTATCAACCAACTCATGGACGTGTCCGAGCCATATTCGGCTTACTTAATATCAAGAATACAGACATTTTGGTAGAGAGTAAACTGGTCAAGCTGATCAAAGACAAGAAGCACGTTCCAGGTACTCAGAGTCAAAAAAGTATGCTAGAACTGATAGGATTTTCGGAGGGGAAGGGGCTTGAGTGTGCTTCCAAATTGTTTGCGTTCCATACCTTATAGAGTATAAGGTGAGAGCTTTTAGCTTAAAAATAGTGACAATGCTAAAGAACGTTGACTTCTTTCAGTAGAATAACGCCCATGACCAAGTGGTTGTCAAACTCATACAATTTGCTAAATCGAAGTGATATTCTTTATTGTATATTGGAAAGAGCTCATTCATCTTGTTCCTTGTTTACGGTAGTATTTGACCTTCCAAATTATATTGACTATAAAACTTAACCCGTGGTACGTCTAGGTTTCCAGTTGTTGCCGACCAACTCTCAGATTCACTATTCACTTGATTTTTCCATCTCAACTTATGGCAAATTTTACTAATTTGGTATACTGTACCTTCTCTCCGCCATGTATGGACAACCCTGTTGTGACTATTTTTTTTTTGTTTCTTCGGTTATATGTTCGATATCTGATATAAAAGCAAATTTTAAAGCTTTACGGTGAGATTTTTTTGTATAAACGTCAAGGAATTATATTTAACTTATACAATTTTTTAAATTAGTAAACGCAATTTTGGTGATTTTTAGACCTAAAAGCCTGAACAATTTACGACTATTTGGAATAGTCCGATTGAATATTAAAAAGCAATTCGATTACATAAAAAAAGCAAAAATCCGTTCCCGACTTAACCTAGTAAAGTAGCCAAAGGAGAACTCGTATCTCTTTACAGAATTGAAATCCGAACACCCGAGTTAGTCGAAGCAGTTTGTCAGGGTTTTCGGTCTAAACCGTAAAACAAACAGACCGCTTTCAATATCCTTAATAATAAAAATATATATATTTTAAGTTATCGTCTAAAAAATTAAAAATCAGGAAAGCCTACACTCCTATCCCGACTCGGCGAGGCATTTTCGTTACTTTTTCTTAACGTGCCCGCCCCCTTTAATCGGGGCTCAGTCGGTACTTATATGGATTTTTTTTTTTTTTTGGGGGGGGGGGGCGATATTTTAGCATTTGCTTACAAACAACAGATTGGAAACTGGCGTGCTCACCTATGCGTATTACGGACGGCAATGCGGTCAACGAATCGTCGATCGTCAACGACCAGACAATCGAAAACAGCAGACAACCCGGTCCGCCCGTCAACATGATGCGGTCGACCGACAGCGGAAGGGCATCACGATGACTGAAGCCTCCTCGATCGTTTCCGGTTGTGTTGTTATTTAACGGCGGGCTTTTCGACCTTTTTCCGTTCACTGCCGTCGCGACTGAAATTTCGAAAATCACGTCGACTTAAATGGACTTTTCGAAACACACACACACACACGATCACGTGCCAACACACGGTGGTCAGCGTGGCGAGCACACCGGACGCAGACTGGCGAATACAAAAACCGAACGCGCGCCGTGACGGCCCTCCGGAGAGCTAATGCCGCCGCTTAGCCGTCGCCAGCCAGCGCGCGTAGCCGCCGCCGCCGCCGTCGTCGTCGCCACCGACATTATCGCTTTAAGATTTTATTTGCCTCCAAGACAATTCCCCCAGAAAATCGGTTAAATATTTTGTCTTCTAGCCGACACAAATAACCGATCTGGGCGACTCTGCACACGAGGAACGGAAAACCCCGATTTTACTAAGGGCGTGTACAATACTTGACAACAATTTATCTAGTAGCCATTTTAAATACTTTGACTAATTTTAAGATGGAAAAAAATTTAATTTCTCTAGTTATGAAACGTTTTAAGTAATATTTTGTCTCCGTGCTATGCGTACCAACGTTTACTATAAAATATAATAGAAAATTACAGTCATTTTCTGGCGTATCTATTGAATAGATTTCAATTTTTGTTATTTATATGAAAAGCTCAGCATACTTAATTTTTATTTCAAGTTAAAATAAAAAGGATTATTATAAAAATAGTTTTTTCATATTTTTTAATATTTAATTATTCATTATTTTTTTTGTTTAAATCGTGATATCATTGAAATACCTTTTGTTTAGGTTCCAGTGAAATTATGTTCAACAAAAATTCGATTATAATCATTGTTTTTTAATCGTTTTGTTTTGTGGCCAATTTGAAATGTTTTGATTGTTCTCAACGTTCGATTCAGTTGAAATTTGGCATACTCGCGTTTTTCGAGATAATAAAAAATCTGAAGGAGTGTCAGTTACAAAAAATTAAAATTAAAATTAAAACAAGGGCAACCCTAATACATATCATCATAGATATATTGATTTTAGCTGTTTAGAACGCGGATAGGTAAACCCATACACGTTTATAGGCTAACTTGCTGGCAGTGTACACGAAGGTTGTCATTTTTCACCGCAAATTGTGTTTTAATATTTTTGTTGTTTTTTTATCGCCGAACGATCTGCAAACTAAAAGCGTTATCCATTTTTAACCTTTCCTATAATATATTCGAGATTGAACAAAAATTATTTTCACACTACGAGCTGTGACGAGCGTGAGTGAAAGAGTATGTTTAATTCATTTTAATATTAAAACTTCAGAATAAAGAATGGGGTAAGGTTTTGTTTAATGTTTAAAGAGCGGATTGTATTTTTATTTTTTTGCATTGCTTGAATGATTTTACGCGACACATTTTAAGCCCACTGTTTCAACGCAAAAAGTCTACAAAAGATAAACAAAAAGTTAAAGTTATGTGTTAATTTGTAAAAATAAAATATAAATATACGATTTTCAGTATGTATCTTACGAATAAATGATGATCAAATGTATACTTTCAAAAGTATTCTTATTCATTACAAGATTTTTATGAGAGTAAAATCAGCAAAAACATCTTGTATTTAATCAACTCTTTGAATTGTTCATATTTTCTTAAAATACATATTTACCATACTCTTAAATATATTAATTTTATTGAGATAATTTAAAACTTAAAATTAACTTACGTTGTATTATCAAATAGGTAATTCTTAATTTTTTTTCAAATAATCGAAAAAATAAACTTTAATAATTTAAAACAAAGCGCCAAAGCCAAATTATTATTACTTTTCTATTCATTTAAGTCCATAACGTTGATTAATAACTATTTATTATTATATATAATACTACCACCACTTGATATTTTATTGTGATCTACAACATTTATCATCTTTTTATATAATTTTATGTTATATTCTTTTTTTATTATTATTCGGTTTTATCGTATTATATTTATCTGACTAAACAATTTTTTTCATATTTTAGATCAATTAAGTTTTAAAATTGTTCACTAAGAAAGTGAGGGCTAAAGGCAAAGAATATTCACTCGGGTATTTCATCCGGAACGTGCGACATCTGCCACGGCTTTCAGTCATTTTAAAACCTTTTTTTTTTTAATATACCTACCATTTTGAAATAAGGAGCATAACTTTTCTTTGTTATTTTATTTTCATTGACTCTTTCCAAACACTGTTTCATCGTAATTCGTATGAATACAATTTTACACGGAAAAATATGGACATAATGAATATTTAAAACGAATATTATAATAACAGTAAAATGCTTTATGGTTTCTCATTTACATAGTAATAAATCGTATGATAATATTATGTAAATACGGGCTTTAGTAATATTTTTTAATTATCTATATTTATTCGGCGAGGAAACAATAGTTTTTAAACTAAATAAGGTAATAATTATTGTTGTTTTCATCACCCAAAATTTTTTTAAAAAACTCAGTTTTTGAAATTTGCTATATTCTTTTTCTTAATATTAAGTAATAATTATAGTTAAAATAATTCTTTTCTGATGCGATTTTTTACATGCATTAAAAAATATATATACTATAATATATATTTTTTTTATTCGATAAATGGTTCACATTTATTTATTACTTTTATTATCACCAAGTTTAGTAGAAATAATAGTAATTTATTTAAGAGCTACACCTTATTAACCAATTTATAATGGGCTGCCAGTTATCAACTAACTTACCTTACTTTTTATTCGAAAATTGTGTTTTACTATTAAGATTAAATTATTCATTCTATGCCAACGACAAAATACTGGTCATTGTTTTTTTTAAATCTTATAAATCTACTAAAGGGCAATCAGAAAACCGATTTACTCTTAGGTCGTTGTTTACGTATAAAAAACGTACGCTTAATGGGATTACTTAAGGTAAAAAATTGCAACAAGACTTCTATGAAAAAGCACTTTTAACAAACCAAACCAAGGCAAATAGAAATGTGATGTCTATTACAGAGTAACCCGAAATTCGATGGTCCCCACAGTCCAATCATGTTGTCTTGTCTTGTTGTTAGTCGTCAGCGCAAATCAGAAAATATATGTTAGGACTTCCAGTAGTTTTTATTAAGTTATGAAAAATGTCTGTACAGGGTAAGACATTTTGAAACATTGGCCAAGACTACAAAATCTTTGATTTAATGCTCAAATTGAAAATATTTTATCTTCTATACATTTTATTTAATATATATATAAAACGAAAATGCGTTTTCTCTTCTATACACACATTATACCTAACGACTAATGCGTACTTACGTATAATAGTGAATAGTCTAATCATTCTCAATACTATGTCATCTAATTTACATAAACTTTCTAATGACTTGTACTTAAATCTATAAACTATTAACACGTGTAATCATAGATGCCAGTTTTTGTAAGCTCATTTGTATTCTAAATCAAAAATATAATAAACTAAAAAAAAAAAATTACCGGTAAAGTATAAAAAAACTTTACAAGTATAAAAAGTAACAATACAACATTAAATAATACTTTCATAACAAACAAAACTTAAATAGGAAAAACAATTAAAATTATAATTTATTCATAAAATCACGATATTATTAAAAAAAATTACTAATACATACAAAATATATGTAAACTCCATAAATATTTACTAATAGAATAAAATAGTTATCAACAATAGAGTCATAAATTGTAAGCTCTATAGATTTTAATAACTTTAAAACTAATTACCTGAAACTGGTCAAAATCTGGTCAATCTACCAGTCAAAATTGGCAGCTAATTAATCTTAATCTAAAGAGGTAATTAATATATACGTTATTTCAAAAGTTGAGAGAGCTTTCAAAAAAAACTATAACAATTTTAATATTGTCTAATACTGTAGAATAACATCAACTAAGGTGTCTCCAAAAATAAAAACTACAAAATTACAACTATTTTAAGAAAAAAATAGTGTTTTGCGTTAAATGGTTCACCCTGTATACTTAATATTTTAGCTGTCATCGTCCGAGTCGTAATCCTGACAAATATATTGAAAGCTGTTATCACTGGTGCACAACATGAGACCAGTTTTTGACATTTTCTGCATTGAATCTATTTTGTTGGAACACGATGGCACTTATCAAACAAACCCAAACAATTTGTTTATAATAACGGCCGTTTTTTTAAATAAATAAATTAATAAACACAATTATTATAAAATGTAATACTACACTATTTCGAATATTATAAATAAGTAAACTGTGCTCTTAATATAAAATAGTCTTAATACAAAAATCAGGATTTTAAGACGTGTAAAACAAAAAAGAACATTTAATAAAACCAAATAATATATTACGTTCGTAAGTTAATATGTTTTCATAAAAGGGCATGGCATGTCGATAAAGCTGTTAAACAATACTGCAATAAAACTGTACTTAAAACCATTACAATGAGTCATTAATAAGGGAACCATTATCTAACCTTATTCCAAAAGTGCCTCAAAGGTTTACATTCACCCTACGGGTACTGGAATACAATTATTTTCACTTTAAACACCATTGTGCATTTTTAATAACGTCAATTATTTAATAATATAACCCTGCGGCCTGCGGTAATACTTTCCAGATCTACCTCCAATAATTACTAAAATTACAAATTAAATTCTACGTGTGATAAAATAATAAAAAGTTTAAACACAAAAAAAAACGTTGACAAATGGCATACTTTCATTGCAACCAAAAATAGAAAATATAATAATATATTATGTTAATTGTTGTACTTATACTAAAAATACACTAGTTAGGTATTTTATTTTAACCTAAATAATTAAAGCTTGAAATAATGTACTATTTATTTGTTTATTATTAACGCACTTTACTTTTGTACATATATACATAGCATATACATTTAAACATGAAAGTAACCACGGAAATTTGCGTATTTTGTATAGAGTGATTATTTATATTTTATTATATACAGTAATAATAGTACTATCTTTAAAGTTCAACGGGAAAATAATTGTAAAGCTGAATTTTATAAAATACCAAATAAAAATACTCTTTAAGTTCTATCTAACCATTTAAATAAATACGAAAAACAAGAAAATATTTTTGGAATTTCCCCATATTAAACATTTATAGCTGGTTTATAAAATTGATAAAAAACGTTTTAATTAACGCATATCAATTATTCAGTAGATTTGTTGTTTCCTGA